CCCCCCCCCCCCCCCCGCCGTGCGCGTCGCGGCAGAACTTCTGTGTTAACTTTGAGACTGGTTGGAAGAAAGGACCCCTCCAGTGACGGTGACGGCCGAGAGCGCCGATCTGACCCCGCGGAGGCCCTGCCCTCCGGTCGCCCGCGCCGAGTTTGCGAGGCCCGGAGAGGACGCGGCTCCCTTTTGTTCTGGGGTAGTCGAGTGTCTTCTCCGTCGCTGACACCGGCGAGCGGGCTTGGCCGTGTGATTGATTACGTGTGTTTTGCTTGTGGTCCTTGCCCGCCGGAAACTACGCGAGATAGAAACATCCGCGCCTTCTGAGGATTGCAATGCGTTTAAGTGTTTTTAGACGCTAAGCTAATTTGGAGGGTCTGTAGAAGAAATGTTGATGCTTTGGTTATCAGCGCAGCACTCTTTACACTTAGGGTATGTTTTTGTAGGGCTGAAAGTCTTTCAGTGTCACGGATTGAGATTTTGGCAATTTTAAATGAAAATGGGTCATAGATAATGAGTGTTAACGTTTGGTATGATCCATGTCATGCATCAGTGGGAGTTGATTCAGTTAAAAAGTCTTTCCTCAATACAAATCTCAAGTGTAGAAACTGTGGCGCCTGATAATTTACTGAGCATGCTCACCGCCTTCATGTTGGAATCTTCCTAACAGCCACTTGGAGTAGATAGGTATCGTTCTCTTTTATAGAAGTGGAAGTGTAGGCTTAGTTTTCAATAGTTTTTCCAAGGTTCGCACAGGCAATAGGGACAGATTTGAACGTAGGTATAGTATTCGGATTGCGAATAGTTTTCCTTTCATTAAGCCACAGTTGTGTTTATTGTATGCCATGAGTGAAGCTGATCATCCCTAAAGACTCCTTTGGAAAAAATAGTAAAGCGAAACTCCTGGAGATGAGGAATCGCCTTCGCGTTCTTTTTTTTGGCCGCCTTTTTGACAGGTGGACTTGTCGGTCAGTTTTCACCTACATAGATTTGTTCTTTTGGATTCCAGGTTTTTGTTTCTGTTTTGCACCACTAGGGATTGAACTCAGGGCTTCCACTTTCAGCTACCCAGGCCGTTTTATTTTTATTTTGAAACCAGGCCTGGTGGGCTTGAACTTCTGACCCTTTTGCCTCAGGCTCCCGGATGTGGGGTTCACAAGGTGCACCACCATGCCAGGCTGGATTAAAGTTTTAATGTCTAAATCTAGTGAGACATGTATTTATCGCTTGATATGTACTGGTATGTTATATTAAATCCCCATTATTTTGGTCTGGCATTTAGTGCTCGTGTTATATTTATGACCTGCCAGTAGTTATCGGTAGTTCAGGGATTGATACATTTAGTGCTGCCGCTGAGTGGAAACTTCGTTATGAGGAGAGAAGCATTTCTAGTTCTCAAAGATATTTTCCCCCTTGTAAAATTGTAATTGGGTAAGGTATAAATGATATTCTTATTGACTTAAATACTTACTGAGTTGAACTAATTACTTTGTATAGTAGCTAGTGTTTACTGAGGAGTCTGTGTGTGGTATATTATTTACTAAACTTAATTCTACCAACATTTTTAGGAGGGAATATCTTCATTTTACAGGTAAGGGAACTAAAGGTTAGTATGATTAACTTGCCTGAGAGCACACGGGTAGTAGTAACAGTGACATGATTCAAATGCATGTCTGTCAAATTCTAGACTTAGATATTTAAAAGTGAATATCAACTGTTATGTTGAATCATTAATATAGGTTGAAAAACCATATTTCATATTTGATGAAACTGTTAGTCATGGAATGAAAGTTAATGTTTTGGTTTTTGGTGGTTTTTTGGTACCAAGGATTAAACTTGGGACCTTGTGCTTGCGAGGCAGGCACGGCGCCACTGAGCTAAATCCCTGGCCCATGAAAGTTAATACTTCTCATGCCTCTTTTTGCAAATTTGCAAATGGAAGTCTTTTGAAATTTTCAGAATTTAAATTTAACTTCAAATAACACTGGAAGAAAAGGTAGAGTTATGGAGAATATCATGATAAAAAAATTATAGAATGAAGCTGCAAGAAGCCTGTAGAAAACTGTTCTATTTGCTAAGTCAGTTTTTTTTTTTTGGTGCTGGGGATTGAACTCGGGACCTTTGGCCTACGAGGCAGGTGGCGGAACCACTGAGCTAAATCCCCAGCCCTAAGTCAGTTATTCTTGATTATAAAGCAATGCAACTTGAGTTTTTATCTGATTACAAAGGAAAAATTTTTTTTTCCTTTTTGCTAGTAGGTTTGGAAAATACTATGGCTAAATATAAAGAAAATTAAATTTCAAAAAAAATCTGTTAAAACTGTTCCCCACTCTTGAAAAGTGGATACTGTAGTTTACTTTTACGTTTTAAAAATATTTTAATATTCTGAGGAAAGAGGTTAAAATGTTACTAAGTTACACACCATGCAAATAGAGTACAATTCTATCATAAAATTTTTGCTTTCTATACATGGTGCCCTGTATGATACTATAATGCTCAAAATGTCTTACATTTGTAATAGTACTGAATTCTATGATTTTTGCCCTTTTATAGTAAATGTTTGGTAGATGTTTAAAAACCTCTGAAGTCTTTAGTGTATTAAATTACGTTTTTGTGCCAGGGATTTAGCTCAGTGGTTCCACCGCCTGCCTTGCAAACACAAGGTCCCAAGTTCAATCCGCCACACCAAAATAAATTAAATAAATAAATAAATAGTTTTTGTAAGATCTACTTTATAATCTATGTATAATGAGAGTGATTCTTATTTGTATGTAGTTTGTATGAGTACATAATGTCTTGTATATACAGCTCTTTATTAAGTCTTTAAATTTCAGAGCTGGAGACCTTACACGTAGCCTCCTTATTTTATGGATTAGGTATCTGATCTTACAGTGCATGGAGATTTTTTTACTTTCAGAAAGAAAATTCATCCTTTGGTCAAAAATAGACTTTTTTTTCCCTTCAGTATTGAGGATTGAGCCCAGGGCCGGCCTTTACACTGAACTACATCCCCAGCTCACTCCCTCACCCCTTTCATTTTATTTTGAAACAGGGCCTGAGTCCTGAGTTGCCCAGGGTGTCTTCAATTTACACTTGCAGTCTTGCCTCAGCCTCCCAGAATACTGGAATTACAGGAATGTGCCACCATGCTTGGCTTTTGTCTTTTTGTTTTTTTAAGGAAAAGCACTGCAGTGGTGGAATATATATTGCAAGCAATCATTGATATATGGAGCTTCCATAAAGATACTATACATTTTGCCATAGTAGAATGCTCACATTTAAGCCCAGTGTTACATAGAGCTGTTTTACTTTTTTCACTTTTCTAAATTACTGCTTAGACTAATAGAATAGAATATAAAATCTTACCAATAACTTTTAAAGTAATTGTAGTTATGCATTACAGAAAATACTCCTTCGAAAGGTATGAAGTGTATCGCAGTTGATTATGTTCTTTATCCACTATGGCAAAAAGTTGAAGTAATTTAAATTTGGAAGAAATGAGTTAAAAGGATGGGCAGATTCAGATAGTTGGTTATCCTTTTTCTAGAAGCTCATGGTCTTTCATCTCTGATTCCACACATGCCTGTTTCAGTCTTGCTGCAGATCAGCTTTCACGGCTTTGGCCTATACTGTGGCCAAGCATACCTGCATTTATTTAACAGATGTTTATTGAGAACCTTATTGAGTCAAGCATTTTTTTTTTTAATGTCTTTGGGTTAGGGAGGGAACAAAATAGAGAATATTCTTTCATAGTGCTTACGATGTAGTTCTTAGCTTGGTAGAGAAGGAAGGGAAAACAGAAAACTTGATAAATTATGTAGTGTAACTAGAAGATTACAAGAGCTTTTGAAAATAGCAAATTGGAAGGTAGTTAAGGCTGCTAGAATACAAGGGCAAGGATTGCAGTTTTAAATAGGACTGTGAAAGAGTCCTCATTGAGGAGGAGTTAGCCAATTGGAGCATGCCTAGAATGTTCAGTAAATCACCAGGACAGGCGATGGATTGAAAGAGAGCGAGTATAATATGAGATCAGAGAGACCATGGGGCCATGGAGGAGTTAAAGGGGCTGTGAGCAGGTCGGGCTTTCATTGACTTTTCTCTTAGTGAGATAAAGAGCTGTGGGACAGTTTGGGGCAGAGGTGAGACATCAGTTGTCATGCTACTCTGTCCCTGGCTACTTCCGAGTATACCTGTTTTCTATCACTGTTGAACCCAAATTTCTGGGAGCTAGAGTCTAATGGGCCCATCTTGGGTGAGGAGCTTACTCTTGATCCAAGAATACAGGTGATAGTGGGAAAGGTAATAGAAGAATCAAAATCATGACTGTGTCCATTCTGGAGCTGGACAGACATCTCAAAAGATGCTTGCTATATTATTGACATCTAGAGTACTTTTTAGGAGGAAGAGCGGTGATCAGTGCGGGGCCACCCAGATATCCTCATTTAGATACCTGCTTCCCGTTTCTTCCAGACCAGGTTTCTTTCCTTTAAGGACATGAACTGGACTTGGTCTTAGTATAATATTAGAAGAGTTCTTAAAAAGGTAATAGGGGGGCCGGGGATTTAGCTCAGTGGTTTTGCCGCCTGCTGCGCAAATGCAGGGACCTGAGTTCAATCCCCGGTACCAAAAAAAAAGGGAATAGGAACCGAAGTAAGGCACCAAGGGAAAACAATTCAGACTATATGTTAGACTGCTGATGTAGTGAGCTAGACAAGTTAGTATGGGAGTTTAAGGCAGTGGGAATGGAAAGAATGTGAAAGAAGAAACAGATCAGGGTGGAATTAATAGAATATAGTAGTTGATGAGGTAGGTAGTGAAGAGGAGTTTTAAATGATTGATTTCTAGAGTAGTTTCATCAACCAGGAATGGGAAAAGTTCAGTTTTAAACATTGTTTGCAAGTGCTGGCATAATGGAATGCCATAGATTGACTACTTAAGCAAGAGAAATATATTTTCTCACAGCTCTGGAGGGTAGAAGTTTGAGATCAAGCCATTGACAGGGTTGGTTTCTTTTGAGGCCTTATTCTTTGGCTTATGATGGTAGATTTACACCTTCACATGGTCTTCCTTCTGTGCATGTGTACCAGCCTTCTCTTCATATAAGGACACTAGTCAGATTAGATTAGAGCCCATACTAGCAACCACATTTTAACTTAAATCACAGGCAAATACCATTGCATTCTGAAGTACCAGAAGTTAGGGCTTCAAAATATGAATTTTGTGGGGGAGTTGGGGCACAGTTCAGCTCCAAGTTCTTGAAGGCTTGGAAGACACTGAAGCATTTTTTTTACTCCTACTTCTTATAGCTTCATTATATTATCTGTCCTTTTCACTTTTCTGGCCCTCCTTTTCTCTACTTCTACCTGATGGTATGTTCTGGGAATGTAGGAGCAGATTAATAAAATATAAATTATGCATGATAAAATTTACCCCTTTAGTATGCCATTCTGTTTGCAATAGATGATTTGGAGATTCTATGCCTTTTTTCTTTTGCTTTCCATTTACCAAGTATTGGATACCTACTATGTACCTAGGACCATTGTCAGAGAGCTTGCCACATAATAAACTTCATTTCCCCCTCAGACATTGCAAAGTGCCTAGAGAGATACTTGTATTGAATAGAACAGCTTAAAGGACCATTGACATAGAGTAATAGTTCTCAAAGTTTGATCTCAGGGCCTTTTACATTCTTAAAATTGAGGACCCAAAGGACTTTTATGTATGTAGGTATTTTATGTATGTAGAGATATTTATCATATTAAAATAAACCTTAAAAGTTAACTAGAATATTTAAAAGTAACAGACTCAATACATGTTAACAAGAATAACTTTATGATAAATAAGTAGATTTTCCGAGATAGAAATCTTAAGTTAGAAGAGTAGCACTGTTTTAAATTTTTATAGATCTCTTTTATGTCTCTTATTAGAAGACCTCTGCTTTTGTAGGCAACTCTGTTGCCACATGCTTTGATTAAAGTGTATAGAAATTTGGCTTCACACGGATACATATCTAGAAAAGTGGGGAGTATTTTCAGGTCAGTTTGTGTGTTTGATGTTATGTCAGAACTTGATGAATGGCAGTTTCTTAATGGGTATTGTATCTGAAAACACCCACACATATATGGACAATTGATTTTTTTTTTTTTTTTTTTTGGTACCGGGGATTGAACTCAGGTCCTTGTGCTTGCGTAGCAGGCGGTGAAACCACTGAGCTAAATCCCCGGCCCTGGACAATTGATTTTTGACAAAAATGCAAAAGTAATTTAGCAGAGAAAGTATATTTCAAGAAATGGCATTGCAATAATTGATTATTCATAGGCAGAAAACTTTGGCGCCATAGCCTGTGCCATATCCCAAATTAACTTAAAGGAATATTAGACCTACATGAAACACCTAACACTAAATATGAAAGAATTTCTTTTGATCTTGGGTGAGGACAATATTCCTTAGATCTTAGATTTAACATCAGACGCATGATCCACCAAAGAGGAACTTGATAGATTGGATGGCTTCAGATTCAGAACTTCTGCTCTTTGAAAGACTTAAGAGAGTGAACACAGGCTAGTAAATATTTGCAGGCACATAGACACAAATTTTGCCTTAGTGAGTATTGAATCCAAGGCCTTACCACTCAGCTACATCCAAGCTTATTTAATAATCTTTTTAGAATTTTGGGAGCTGGGGATTTAGCTCAGTGGTTCTGCCTCCTGCCTTGCAAGCACAAGGTCCCGAATTTGATCCTTGGTACCAAAAAAAAAAAAAAAAAAAAATTTTGAGACAGGGTCTCACTAAGTTGCCCAGGTTGGACTCAGTTTCAATCTTCCTGCCTCAGCCTCCCAAAGTGCTGGGATTACAAGCGTGCTTCACCCTCCCTGGCTGCATACATACATTTAATGAGGTATTTAGAGTGTACAAAAAAGGAGAAACCCTCTCAAAACTCAGTAAGAGAGCAACCTATTTTTTAAAATGGCTCAAAGATCTGGGAAGATATTTCACCAAAAATACATGCATGTGGCTGTTAGGCACAAGAAAAGATAATAGCATCGTTAGTCATTCATTAGGTAAAAGCAGAGCACAACCATAATGAGATCCACCCCCTAGGATGGATATAATTAAAAGGGACAGATAGTAAGTATTGGTGAGGATTGTAGAAAAATTAAACCCTTCATTCCTCACTGGTGAGAATGTAAAATGTTGCAGCTGATTTTGTGTTCCTCAGAAGTTAAACTGAGTAACCACATGATGCAGAATCAGGTCATTTCTCAGTGTATATCCAAAAGTTAAAAATGTATGTTCACACAAAAGCCTGTATATGAATGTTCAGAGCAATATTATTCATGGTAAGCAAACAGCAGACACAACTCAGTGTCCACCAGCTGATGGATAAATGTGGTCTATCTCTAAAACGGGTACTATTCAGAGGTACAAAAGGGTGACGTATTGATAGCTGTACAACTTGGACTTCGTCAACATTATGCTAAGTGGAAGGAACCAGTCACACAAAAACTACAGTTCATGTGATCCAATTTGTATGAAATGTTCAAAATAAGTAAATTTATGTAGAGAAAGTAGATTACAGTAGTGATTAGCTGGGACTGGGGAAGATGGATGTAATTCTATTAGTTACAAGGTTTCTGTTTGGAATGTTTTAAAAGTTGATTATTGGTGACGGGTGTACAACTGACTCTATAAATATACTCAAAACTATTGAATTGCATACATCGTTGACCAACTTTATGGTATATACACTATATTCCAAGCAAGCTGTTCAGTTAAAGCTACAATGAGCTACCACTGCACATCTGCTAGAGGGGCTGAAGCAATACTATGAAGACCAACCATACCAAGTTTTGGTGAGGAAGTGGAGCAACTGCTATGTTTCATGCACTGTTGAGAATGTAAAGTGGTACTCCGCTTTTTCCAGGAAGCAGAAAACAGTCTTGAAGGTACAGGCCCATGGTTGACAGGTGATGATGCAGAAGGCATTGGCACACCTCTGTGCATCCCTGGGCAAGACCTGCAGTGGTTTGGGCCCTTATTCATAGGGCTATGGGAAGGTGGGCATTAAAACAAACCTACTACCTGTAACCAAAGTAAGTAAACCACCCCTCCTCTCGCATGTTCCTCCAGCACCCTCTAGTACAAACAAAATGCTAGAGTTCAGTTTCTTATCCTTAACCAGGTATTGAAGGGGGAATTTGGACTGAAGAGGAGATAGGGTGGTAACTGGCTCTCTCCCTTTGAAACTGAAATGGTGTTGAAGGCATTGCCTGCACTGCCGAAGCTTGAAGTTTCCCGCTGCTGCTGGCAGAACCACCACCACCACTTCTCTAGCTACTTCAGGAGCCCAGTTCCTGCATTTAGCTGCCGCTGTTGGTTTTTAGAGTCAGAAATAGAAAATGATTTTTTTTTTGGTACTAGGGATCAAACTTGGGACCTTGCGCTTGCAAGGCAGGCGGCAGAACCACTGAGCTAAATCCCTGGCCCTTGGAAAATGATTTTGACCCATGTCCCGTCCTGTCCCGTCCCTCCCCCTCCCCCTCCCCTCCTTCTTTTCTTTTCCTTGGTCTCATAGGAGGCCTTTCTCACTCGCAGACTTATCTTAAGTCTAGTCAGCAAGGAGCCAGAAAACAGAGCGTTTTCAGGCTTCCAGGAGCAACAGTAAAGGTGAATTGTTAATTTAGTAATGATAGTAATCCAGAAACATAAGAAAAGATTGTAAATTTGTAAAACATGGAGAATTAAGAATTTTGCAAGGCCTGATTCCCACATCCAAATTTTTTTGTAGATACCCTTTTACAATAAAAAACTTTTTGGTAAAATCTGAGCAGTTAAAATGTTTTATTCCCTTATAATTGTGGAAGTTTCAGTAAAATCAACCATATTATCATTAACCAGTTATAATTTCTCTTGTTTTTTGCATGTTCTCTTTTAGGCGCTTGTATTTTTACCTACTTGGAGATAGAATGTGTGTTCATTTTTTATTCCTGCTTTGTTTACTTAACATTGTGCGTTTTTTCATATTGCTGTACAGTTATATTAGTTATTTTAAAGGACCTGAATATGTTCCATACAGTGAATGTGTATGTATAGCTGCTTACCTGCTTTTGGCTATGTAGGGTATCCACAGACATTTTTTAATAACCTTTATCAATAATGTCTTTAATATTTGTCCTTTATAATTGTAAATATTTTGTTGGTAATCAGATAGTAAAAAGTTGTTTGCTTCATCCGGATGAAAGGAGGTCAGTACCCTCATGAGTTGATGTTGCATGACCTTGATATGACGTGATGAAAATGGCACTTTATCTATGTGATTTTCCTCCTCAAAACCCATAGCCCCAAACTAATCGTGAAATCAGACAATTTCCCGTTTGGGGGCCTCCAGTAATACACCTGCAAGTACTCTTCAAAGCAGTGGAGGACAGCAAAAACAAGGCAAATCCAAGACTGTCAGAATCCAGAGAAGCCCATGGAGATAGGACAACTAAATGTATGTGGATCATGGAACATACAACTAAATGTATGTTAGGTGAAGTCTGAGGAATCCTGAAGAAGCTAGAGTTTAATGATAATGTATCAATATTGGTTCATTAAATGTAAGAAAAGTAACAGTTCCTAATAAAATATTACTAATAGAGGAAAGGGCTGGGTATTTAGCTCAGTGGTGCTGCCACCTGCCTCACAAGCATGAGTTCCCGAGTTTGATACCGGATATCCCCCCCCGCCCCCCCCAAATAATAATAGGGGATATTGTGTGCTGGCTTTGTGGAGACTCTGTACTATCTTAGAGTTTCTGTAAATCTAAGACTATTCTAAAAAATAAGGTCTATTAGTAATTTTAAAAATCTTGTTAAATTGTAAGTGGAGAGATTTTGAAATCTTACTGCATAAAAGAACTTTCAGGATAGATAACAGGTTGAGTTATAATGTGTACCACACAGCTTTAAAAAGTTTTCTTCTTTCCCCGTTATAGGCACTTAGTATATATTATTGAACTTGATTGTTGGTCAGAAAAACTCGGATGGGTCAGTCAGACCTAAAGTGGTGCAGGAAGCTGCAGTTGATAATCCCATTCACTGGTGGTGGTTTCCCTTTCCTCTCATCTTCTGGGCCTTCTCCATACTCTGTCACCAACGACTTGAAGCTTTTCGTTAAAAATAAAAAATTGCACATACAAAAACTCCACATTATATTTATTGTGCTAAGTACTGTGCTAGGAACTTTGAAAGATATGCTTGTATGAATATATTAGTTATTCAAATAAAACAAAATTCCCACGATAAAATAAAATTGCCTTTCAAAACCAGGAACTTTGTAAGTAGGTTTGCATTCATAACAAACAAGATGCATTACTTTTACTTTGGCCTGTGAAGATTTGTAGTTTTTTAAGATTTGTAGTCTTACTGCCCATAAGGTAAATATCATTAGTCTTAATTTACCACAGAACATGCTGTGTGGTTTAAATTTGAATGAAAAAATCTCAGGCTGTACCTTTTGTTAACTTTACTCTCTTTTTGTAGCCTTGTCCTTGGTACTCCATTCAGGTTTTGGGTGTGGGATTGGTTCTAGTACAAAATAGGTTATTCTTTCTTGACCTCCTTTGTCAGTAGTTGTACTTGTTTCATGTGTTTTTGAAACTGCTGAGATCCTGTAAGAGATAGGATAGGCTAAATTATGATGTAGTTAGTTACCCCTAAACTTCAGCAGCTTAAAACAACAGGTTAGCTTCTCACTGATGTGTATCCAGTGTGGGTTGAGAGGAATGCTTTTCTTAACTGTAGTCATTGCAGAAACAGCTTCATGCAAGCACCATTCCTTACTAAATGCCTCTCCAACCATTGAGACCAGAAAATGCAGTGTGAACTGTGTTCATTGTATAAAATACCTCTACCCAGAAACACATCCTTGTTCATATTTATGACAAAGCAAGTCAGTTTCCATGCCTAATTTCAGTGGCTTCAGGGAAGTGCAGTTAATTATACCATGTGCTCAGAAAGTTGGAAAGCTAGAAATATTTGGTCAATGTTGGTGATTTCCACAGTCCCTTAACAACATTCCCACCTGAGTGCATGAAATAAATGTACTCATTGAAAGACATTTTAATCTACAATTTCATTAGACCACATTTTAGAGCAAGTAAGACTAGGTATGGTGACACATGCCTATAGTTCCAGCAGTCAGGAGGCTGAGGCAGGAGGATTGCTGCAAGTTGGAGGCCAGCCTGGGCTGCATAGTGACTTCAAGCCCAGTCAGAACTACATAGTGAGGTCCTGTCTCCCAAAAAAAAACAAAACAACAAAAAAAATTTTAGAGCAAGATTATTATTTTTGTAATATTGTTCTTTCTCATTTGCTATTTCTTCCCCCAAGACTAGACAGTACTGTGGAAAGTCTTCATTTTTATTTTTTATTTTTATCTTTTTTTTCCTAGTACTGGGAATTGAACTCAGGACCTTGTGCTTGCCAGGCAGGCTCTGTGCCACTGAGCTATATCCCTGAGGCTTTCGTTTTTAAATAAAGGTACAATTTAAATACAGTGAAATTTACCTTCATGAAATATCCATTTTGATATGTCCATACAGTCATGTAGCCAGCAAAATCAAGATATAGAATAGTCCCATCATCATCACCTCAAATACCCTTATACCCTTTAAAGGTTTGCCCCCTTCCTTACTTCTTTGGCCCTGGCAGCCACTGGTCTATTCTGTTCCTATGGATGTCCCTGTTCTGCCTACTTCCAGCGTGTCATGAGTGGAATCATACAGTATGCATTGTTTGGAGTCTGGCTTCTGTCGTTTACTGTATTTGCTCCTTACCTACATTCCTGCACATATCAATAGTTCATTCCTTCTTATTGCTTAGTATTCTGTTGTCACATGTGTACTCTATTCAGTACCTGGTTGTGGGTTCCTTGGATTGGTTGATATCAGTTTGGGGAAAATATGAGTGAAACTGTTACACATATTCACATAGGTTTTATATGAACGTAAGTTTTCATTTTACTGGGTTAAATACATAGGCTAGTATGGCGAATTTTTACATTTTTGCCTTTTTTTTTTTGGTACCAGGGATCGAACTCAGGACCTTTTGCTTTCGAGGCAGGTGGTGGCACCACTGAGCTAAATCCCTGGCCCCCTTTTTGCCATTTTTTATAGGTTTTTAATATTTGTGTGATTTAAAAATTTTTTTGTGGTAGATTATATAGTACTTGTTATTTTAGCCCATAAATTCACTACTTTGGGGCAGGTTTGAGGCAGGCACTGGCTATGTAGTCCAGGCCAGCCTTGAACTTGCAGTTCTGTCTCAGCCTCTTGAATGCTAGGATCACAGCATGTGCCACTGTGCCTGACTTTATGCCATTTTACGGTTCATAGGCATTTGTATAGTCACACTGTCATGCAACCATTGCCATCTTCTTTTTTTCCCCTCGCCAGTACTGGGTCTCAACAACTGTTTGGGCTCGGACTTTAAAGTCTTCCCTAAAGACTCCTGTAGTCAGAGGTGATTGAGTCTTGGGAGCACTGTGCTCATCACTGAGCCCAGCCGTGGGGAGCTCATGGATGAATGTGCTGTTAGAAGGTGGCCCGCTTGGAGGGGTCCCTGGGGCCATGGCCTAGAAGGCTGCATTCTTTCCTTGGCTCCTCTTCTCTCTGCTCCCTGGGTGTGATGAGGTGAGCATCTTTCTCTGCCAAGCACTTTTGCCTTGGAGCTAACCAACCATGGACTGACTCTTCTAAAAACTGAAAGCCAGATTAAACTCCTCCTTTAAGTGGAGGGTGTTGAGTATTTTGTCCTAATGACAGGAAAGTGACTAATACAGTAACTGAAATAGAATCAGCTGATCTAAGGTTTTCAGATAGTGGCACAGGCCAGTGACATATCCTGTCTCTTGCATCCTGTTTCTGCTTAGCCCTGTGTGGCCTTTGACACCTTATGTGACCCTACTTTCTTCAGCCTGTTTCTCAGAATCTGAGATTATATAAAGATTGAATGAAATAATGCATTCTGAGTGAGTAGAACTGTCTAGCCATGGTGGACACTAAATAAAGAGTGGCTCCTACTACCATCAATTTAAAAGTTGTATACTTTTTCTTGGTGGAATGGCCAGTGCTTGGTTGATCTCTTTCTTCTCTTCTCTTCCCTTCCCTCCCCTCTGCACCCCTCCTCTCCTCTCCTTCCTGGAATTGAACCCAGAGGTGCTCTACCACTGGACCTGTATCCTGAGCCCTTTTCACTTTTTATTTTGAGACAAGGTCTCAGTAAGTTACCCAGGATGGCCTTGCACTTGCCTTTCTCCTGGCTCGGCCTCCCAAGTAGCTGAAATTATAGGTTTGCCATGTCATGGCCAGCTTGGCCAGGCCTTTAAATTGCTACATCAAAGATCCCTTAGTATATCAAGTAGGACTTTTTTTTTTTTTTTTGAGACAGAGTCTTGCTATGCAGTTCTGGCTGGCCTCAAACTCATGGTGATCCTCCTGCCTCAGCCTCCCAAGTGCTGGGATTACAGTTGTATATCACCACTCCTGGCTCAAGTAGGAATTTAAAAAGTCAAATGACAAAGTTTTTCTTTCATTGAAAAATATTTATTGAGAGGGGTTTGAGCAGACATATTAAAGAGAGTCACCAGCCCTAGAGGAACTGACATCTTGTGGGGGAGACAGAGGAGGAAGTCAGTGATCTCAAATAATAAGAGTTGGAACTGGAGTCTGGACATAGGATGAACACCAGGCTGAAAGGCCTGGCTCAGAAGATGCTGGGTGGTCACATCCACTACTCAGCAGCAGGTGTTGGCTGCCTTGATTACTGCCCAAAGTAGGAAGCGCAAACACAGGTGTAGCCACAGTCCCTTACCCCTGGGTGCTCAGTCTGTAGTGAGTTCATTTCTTAAAGTTGACTTTATGAATAATGTCAGTATGGATTTATTTTGAGAAATTAATTTCCTTTTCCTTTCATTTTCTCCTAAGATCCAGTTAAGGGGAGAGACTGTCTTAGATACTTTTCTCTCATTGCTGAGACAAAATACCCGACACCAAAATTTAAAGGGGAAAGGGTTTATTTAGCTCACACTTTGTAGAGGTTTCATTCCGTAGTCAGCTGGCTCCAAGGTAAGGTAGCACATGGCAGATTGAAGGTAGCAAAAGCAACAGGGGACCTTAACAGCGTCTTTCTGCCCCCCTTTATCTTTTAATATTTTATATTTTGATACTGGGGATCGAACTCGGGACCTTGCACTTGCGAGGCAGGTGGCGAAACCACTGAGCGAAATCCCCGGCCCCTCTGCCCCCTTTATCTTTCTCAGACTACTGAGGGCAGGTAGCACGCACCCCTTCATCCTGGTGCCCTCGGGCCCAGCTCCACCATTCACACTCTAGATTGAGCCACCTCTGAAAAAGCATGAGGCTTTGGGGGGACATCTAAACACAAGCCACAAAAGAGACCTTGGAACTTTGATTTTATTTGATCTATGTAATATTATTAGTGCAAATAATACTTTACGAGACAGGTGATCATTTTAATAGTTTATTAGAATATATTTTGACTTAATACCATTTATAAAAATGTAACCCTTTTGAAAGGGTTTGTGTATTATAATTTGTAGAAAATCCTGCTAGTGTGCTCAATTTTCCATTGTTCATATAGTAAGTGGTAAATTTACAAATTCATTGTGATCTTTACAATGAGTAGAGTATGAAATCAGCACTTGGGAAATTTTTTATTATGTATATATTATAGAGCAATAGAGAATGATCATTACACCATTCATTAGGATTTTCTATACTTCATTGTACAGTTCACTAAAAGTAAAAATAGATAAGGAAGATTTGAGAGTTTTTAATTACTAGTAGTTGGAAATAATGATAGGTTAGAATTCCCTTTGGATTGTTTTCCTACTTGAGGTCTTGTCTGTCATTGTTTTCATATTGTGTCCACTTGCTTCTTCTCTTGAAGGACTCCACCCAGGATGCAGATTGTCCCTTTGTCCAGTGCATCTGTGCTGTGTACACTAGCCACCTTAGTCATTTGATAGCTGGCTTCGTTATCTATGCCCTGGTATCACAGTGCTTGTGTTTAAGTATCCTGTATGTGAGAATAGTGATGCTGGCAGTTTTTGCTGGGTTTGTTTTTGTTTTTTGTTTTTTTTTTGGTACCAGGGATTGAACTCAGGACCTTGCGCTTGCGAGGCAGGTGGTGGATGCTGGCAGTTTTATTACAGTGTGTTATAATTATTCTGTTGTATTCTTATTGTTACTTATCTTTTACTCTGCCTAGTTTATAAAGTCAGCTATGTAATAGGTATATATAGAGGCCACCAGAAAAGTGTATAAAAAGGGTATATGCACTTCAGCCGTATACTGTACCAATAAATGTCTGGAAGCTAATGACCATCACTTTGAGCACCTCTTGTAATTGTAGAGGCCAAAGGTAGCTTGTATTGATCTCATGATGTCTTAGTAAATTTAGTATTAAAATATTTATGCAAGTATTTATTTTCCTGATATATACTTTTTTTGGCAGATTCTGTATAGGAGAAACTGTCTGATTTATTTATTTCTTTTCTTTTCTTTTCTTTCTGTACTGGGGATCAAACTCAGGACCTTGCGTTTGGGAGGCGGGGGGGGGCACCACTGAGCTAAGTCCCAGGGAGAGAAACAGTTGTGGTAGTCTGAACCCCGCCCCCCATTCCCTGTGGTTAAGGAGAGACTACTATGTTTCTTTGAATACTTTGTTTACCTCCACTTTCTCCTCTTCTGACACTCTGATACAAATGTTAGATACTTTGTTAGAAGTTTTCTTTCACAGTTCGCCAAGGCTTTTTTTTTTTGTACCGGGGATCGAACTCAGGTCCTTGAGCTTGCGCAGCAGGCGGCAAAACCACTGAGCTAAATCCCCAGCCCTCCAAGGCCTTTTTTAAAGTTTGCTTTTTCTCTCATTTAGATTAATTTCTCTTGTTGAATCTTCATATTCACTTATTTTTTTTTTTCTGCTCTTAGATTCACTTTTTTTTTTTCCTGGTGCCACTAGGGATTAAACCCATGGCCTTCACACTGAGCCACATCCCCAGCTCTCTTTATTTTTCATTTGAGACAGGGTCTCGCTAAGTTACTAAGTTGCCCAGGCTGGCCTCCAATTTGTCATCCTCCTACCACAGCCTTCCAAAGTCCTGGGATTACAGGCATGTGCCACCTTACCACTCTTGCTGTATTTTTTGTTCTGAAATTTCCACTTGGTTGCTGTGGGTGTCCTATTTATTTCTTTGCTAAAATTTTCAATTTAAATTTTTTCAAATGTGTTAATAGTTCATTGAAACTTTTTTATGGTGACTACTTAAAATATTTGTCAATAGGGCCAGGGATTTAGCTCAGTGGTTTTGCCGCCTGCTGCACTGGTACAAGGACCCAAGTTCAATCCCCGGTACCAAAAAATAAAAAAGAAAATATTTGTCAATAATTCCAATATCTTATTATTTCAGTGTTGGCATCTGTTGATTGTCTTTTCTTCAGGTTGAGATTTTCCTGGTTCTGATTTTCCTGAGATTTTCCTGTTAGGAGATATTTTGAGTTGTATTGTGGACAATTTGGATATTATGGGCTCTTTATTAAATGTTGGGGGTTTTGTTTTAAGCAGGTCTACCCTGGGGTTATGCTGGTAGGGGCAAAGGGACACTGCCCCCTTCCTTCCAGCTGGAGGTGAAAGCCAGGTTCCCCACGTGACATTGACATTCTTTAACACTTGGCGTTGGTGCATATACATAACACATCTTTTTTTTTTTTTTTT